GGAGGCTGAGGCAGAAGGATCACTTGAGCCCAGGAGTTTGAGGTTGCTGTGAGCTAGCCTGACACCACAGCACTCACTCTAGCCAGGGTTAAAGAGTGAGACTTGTCTCAAAAAATAAAAATAAAAATATAAATAGTGCTGTGTACTATCTTTATATTATGGAGCACATAATGTCAGATTTCCTCACAGTTAGTGATGCTAAGATTGTATAGTGCGTTCATTCTGATGGTATCTTCCCTGAGCCCTGATTATAAAGCTCCCAACAACCTATGAGCATCCTATCGGCATTTGTTAACCAGAATTCTTCTCTAAAGAACTTTTCCTATTCAACTCTTTGGTCTTATTACAAGGTTTTTTAATATTTATAGCAAGGTCCCCACCCCATTCATTCACTTAATTACTCACTGTGTGTCAGGCTGTTTTTTTACCCGAGAGAGTTACCTTATTTTAAAGCATATATGATCCTATAGCAAGAAATCCAGTCTATATAAATATGAAAGATTAACACAAATTTCAAAAATATATTCATTTTGTAAAGCAGGCACATGATTTTTCACATTCTCTAAAATGGACTTGTGTTAATTTTGTAGTGGGAAAAATTCTTAAAAATTGAGTACCAGTCAAAAGGAATTCTCTGGATTTTCATAAACATTAATGAATTTTTCTTTTTAATAGATATTGTCTTTCCTGCACTTGACATTCTTCGGTTGTCAATTAAACATCCCAGTGTGAATGAGAACTTCTGCAATGAAAAGGAAGGGGCTCAGCTCAGCAGTCATCTTATCAATCTTCTGAACCCTAAAGGAAAGCCAGCAAACCAGCTGCTTGCTCTCAGGACTTTTTGCAATTGTTTTGTTGGCCAGGCAGGACAAAAGCTTATGATGTCCCAGAGGGAATCACTGATGTCCCATGCAATAGAACTGAAATCAGGGAGCAATAAGAACATTCACATTGCTCTGGCTACATTGACCCTGAACTATTCTGTTTGTTTTCATAAAGACCATAACATTGAAGGGAAAGCTCAATGTTTGTCAGTAATTAGCACAATCTTGGAAGTTGTACAAGACCTAGAAGCCACTTTTAGACTTCTGGTGGCTCTTGGGACACTTATCAGTGATGACTCAAATGCTGTACAATTAGCCAAGTCTTTAGGTGTTGATGCTCAAATAAAAAAGTATGCTTCAGTATCAGAACCAGCTAAAGTAAGTGAATGCTGTAGACTTATCCTAAATTTGCTGTAGCAATGGGCAAGGGGGGGGCTGAGATTTTAGATTGATCCATGTTTTTTTTCTCACATTTTACATGACTGATAACAGATGATAAAACAAAAAAGAATACTGTGGATTAAGTGAAATTTCAGATCTTGTAAATTGGTGGGAAGGGAAACAAATAAAATTTTTGCACTGATGAACTGTGAGATTTTCCTGTGTAATGTGGTAAGCTTTCAAGAGTATAGAAGCAAATTTAAAAAGAGCTATGATCAACAACAACATGACGACAGTGGCATTTCTACCTTACCTTAGCCACTAAGGAAAGACAAGGGCTTTTACTTACGTAACCTGCTTTTGTTGCTTATATAAACCACACTTAATTGTTGCTGGTAACCTTTTATTTAACTTCTCCACTTACTTACATTGCTGGATTATTTCAACAGTAAACATGTATCAGTTCAGATAGACAAGATCGCAGATTGACTCCAGGCTTAGGTCCAGTTTATTTTGCCCTTCACTGTTTGAGGTAACTTCATTTTCATTCCAGCTTCAATATTTCATATTTTATTTTTGGTGATTTCCGTTATTTTGAAGGGAATTTGGAACATATTCAGTTTTATGGGGTGATTATACAGGCAAGTAGTCATCAAACTATGTTATTTGAAAGTCTAGACTTGAGCCTGTCATGTGAAATTAGTATTTTTGAGCCCCCAGTGTGATCCAGGAAATGTAGTAGACACTTTGATATTTGATCCTCAAAGCTTTGTTAAATGAGTGGCAGTATTATGTCTGTTTTCAGAAGTAAAGATAATAGGATGAATCATAGCAGAAAAAACAAAAGTGAAGCCAAGAGTGAGTTAACTACTCAAAGTACATGCCATGATATACTTTCTGGAGAGGAGGTCACAGGTTTGTGTTTGAACATCCTACCAACTAACACAAAGAGGGAACCATTCCATACACAATTTATTGTGTCTAAGATAACCCAATTTCTTAAGAGAATTGTAACTATTCCTATTTTTAAAAGTGGGAAAGATCTTTTCACCATGAATACTTCGCCTAAGATAGTAACATTCTCAATATTTATGGCATAATACACCATGAATTTCCTGGCTTAATGCCAAATTGCAGTCTAAGAACAATTCTTCCCCAATAGGGCAAGAAAAGGTTCTGGTTGTCTGGATTAATCCATGGAAAAACTTTTGGAATATCAAAAGGGAATGGGTAAAATGTAAATATAGGAGATATGTACTTTGCTAAGTATTAAATTACAACTTCTTGGTGTGTACCTAGACTTTGAATATTGTTGCAGGTTCAGTTAGGTATCTGTGCTTTACTTTTTTGTTGAATTGGGATTTAGGTGGTTATATCAGAATTAAATGGCAGAGCTAAGAGTTTAACCAGGTCATCCTGGTTCCATTATAACACTACTTTCTTGTTAATATGTCCAGTCTAGCACGCAGTTGTGAGTACAAACAATTTATCTGCAATATTTTGAGAAACTAGGTACCTTTGATTAATGGTAGGACATAGAATCTTGGTTAAGGATATAAGTTCACTCTTCAAAATGTAAGGGTAGCAAATTGTAAACACTGTTTGCTTCCTACTGCTGTACAAGTCTTTTTATAACAACTATACTTTTTAATGTTTATTGAAGAAAATTATAAAATACAGCTTAGCAAAAGGGAAAAAAACTCACTTGGAGGATGTGTTACTAGTGGTTTAATGATATTTTAAAGATTTTCTTTTTTAAAAAGTTAAAACTTTTCTATGATTTTCTTAATATGTTTTTTCTGAATATAAAAGTAATAAACATTAGTTGAGTAAAACACACATGCACCCCGACAAATCAAAATTGCCTGTAATGCCACCATCTAGAGAGAACCATTAACATTTTGTGGCATATCAATATGTTTGTAAATGTATTTCATTTTTTTAGAAAGGATCATATCATACACATTCTTTGATGACCTGATTTTTAAACTTAACAGTTTAATAAATATCTACCTTAATAAATATTATTCCCTCATATGGGTATGCCCATTTCCTATTGTCTGACACTGTTTCCAATTTTTGGCTATCAAGCAGTGCTGTTACAAATCTCACAAGAGTCTTCCTAGTTCCCTAGGAGGATGTTTTATACATGAAATTGGTGGGTCAAGTTAATGCACAGTTTTTAGACTATCACATTGTCAAATCACCTCCAGTGGTACAACTCTTAGAATTAATGTACTTCATACTGCGTTTGAAACCCCACTGCCTGCAAAAGAGCTAAGTTGTTATTGTCTGCATTTCATAACTATTGTTTTCCCTCTGGCATTACATTTTTTAGATGGGTATGTTACTATTGTGCGTTTTTTTATGACTAGCTGAGTTTATAACTAAATAGCATTGCAATGAAATTTATTTATTATCTACCTCATAATCTTAAGTAATGGAAGAAGCATGGCTAAAAACAAATTCTTTCCAAAGATAATTTTGGGGATAAGAGAATAAAGGTAGGTTCCTTAGCATTTATCACTGTGCATAGCGTGCTTATTTTGTGAGGAAATGATAAAATGTGTAGGGGACCATTTGTGATGTATCATCCTTTTAGAGGTCTTTATTTTTTATTGATTGATTGATTGAGACAGAGTCTCTCTTTTGCCTGGGCTAGAATGCCGTGGTGTTAGCCTAGCTCACAGCAACCTCAAACTCCTGGGCTCAAGCGATCCTCCTGCTTCGGTCTCCCAAGTAGCTGGGACTTCAGGCACTTGCCACCATACCTGGCTCATGTTTTTGTTTCTATTTTTAGTTGCCTGGCTAATTTTTTCTATTTTTAGTAGAGATAGTATCTTGCTTTTACTCAGTTTGGTCTCGAACTCCTGAGCTCAAGCTATCCTCCTGCCTCGGCCTCCCAGAATGCTAGGATTACAGGTGTGAGCCACCACTCCTGGCCCTTGCTAGTGGTCTTGAGAGAGAATTTGAGGCTTGAGATTAGAAAATGTTATTCAGTCTTTTAAGAAAAATTTCTAATTACTGTAATTTTTAATGCATTTTTCTGTAGAAAATTATGTGCAGTGTATTTGTGATTATAAATACAATTTTGAAGATTTTTTCATTTAACATTTCTTTTCCATGAGTTTCCCTTCAGTTTTTTAATGAAAATGTTCATACATGAAGAAAAGTTAAAAGAGAAGTACAGTGAACATTCATGAACTTGCCAACTAGATTCTACAATTGTTAATGTTTTTGCCATATCTGCTTTATCTCTATATATAGTTTATACTTCTCTTTGAAATTATTTTTTTAACTATCATTTTGTTTTTTGTTCTGTTTTTTTCCAGATATAGGTTCTTGCTCTGTTACCCAGGCTGGAACACAGTGGCACAATCACAGCTCACTTCAGCCTGGAACTCCTGGGCTCAAGTGATCCTCCAAATTCCAGCTTTTCAGGTAACTAGGACTACAGGCAAGGGCCACCACGCCTGGCTAATTTTTGGTGGCTAACTTTTATTTATTTTTTAGAGATGGACTTTTGCTGTGTTGCCCAGGCTGGTCTGGAACTCCTGGCCTCAAGTGATCTTCCCAATTTGGCCTCCCAAACTGCTGGGATTACAAGCATGAGCCACTGTGCCCAGCCTGGAGTTATTTAAAACTAAATTACAGATACCACATTTATCAACTAGATACTTCAATATTTATCTTCTAAGAATAACGGCATTTTAAAGAGTATTCCTTATAACTCCAATATCATTATGACACTTAAGAAAATTAGTAACTTCTTAATATCTAATATCTAGTTCATATTTCAGATTTCCTTGTTGCCCTGAGAATGCCTTTTATAACTTTTGTTTTAAAAAGACTTAATCTAATATAATCAAGGTTTATGTATTAGTATTTAGTAATTTGGTTATATGTGTTTTTGCTCTTAATCTAAAATAGTCCATCTTTTTAAAATATCATTGACTTTTTGAAGTGTCTAGGCTACTCCAAAATGTGAGGCACCTGGAATTTCATTTTCTTTTTCTTTTTTTTTTTTGAGATGGAGTCTCAGTCTGTTGCCCTGGCTAGAGTGAGTGCCGTGGCATCAGCCTAGCTCACAGCAACCTCAAACTCCTGGGCTCAAG